GACAGCCCTGAAATGTGCCTTTGATATGATACTGGTATCAGTCTACATCAAATAGATTAGAAGGTTTTGATTTAGAAATATGGATAAAAGTAATGGGCCTTTATCTAGAAATACGAATTAAATAAATAAAATAATAAAATAAAATAAATAAAATAAGACAATGGGTCTCTTAATTTAGATATACGAATTAGGGAATTATGAGCGGAGGGGGAGTTAGATTCAGGGTTTATCCTTCCTAGAAATAAAAGTATTGGTAGAAGTAATTGAGTGATAAGAAGGTTGGTGATTTAATGATGAAACTGCGATGTGTGGATTTTGCTATCTTATGCGTTACTTTTATATAGATTTTTTGTCAATACATATAGATATAGATATTTTTTCTTTTCTTTTTTATTTCCTTTTTTTCTTCTTCTACTTCTTGTCCTTCTTCTCCCTTTTCTTCTTCTTTCTCTTCTTCTTCTTCTTTCTTCTCTTCTTCTTCTCTTCTTCTCCCACTTCTTCCCCTTCTTTTCCTTCTTCACCTTCTTCCCCTTCTTTTTCGAACATTAATTTCTGTCATAATCATGTATGGATTATGGCTATGAATGGCGGACAGAACCAAGATTTTTTTTTTTTCGATTTTCATGAGATTTTTTTCGATTTTCATGAGACAACAACGCATCAATATTATTCTAAAACAAGAACTACAAACAAAAAGATAAAAGCAAGATAACATACCCATAATCCATCGTTCCAACATGAACCTAACATACCATACGCCCCACACCCATTCGAACCTACATAGAAAGTACATGAAATTCACCCACCTCCATAAGGTACAAAAAAACAAACAAACAACAAAAATATATATATACAACCCTAGTTCCTGTTGAATAAATAATAAGCCTACACTCAGACCCCAAGCCAAGGTAGTGTTGCAACGTAAAACATAACCGAGTGCAACCCAAGTGCTATTATTTCCGTGTAAACATTCTCCTGCATGGATAATGTGTGTTTCTTTGGGCCTATGGCGGGATGTCAAAGATACAGAAGACGCTTAAAATCTTGCTTTGTGGGAGGTTTAAGGTGGATCTTGGGGAGGAGGAGGGCGTGGCGTCTTCAAGGCGAGTATTAAGTTTGTATGTAATATTAATAATAATAGATAATTGATGAATAATTCTTGTGTATGAAAAAATAAAGATAAAAGAGGATATATATATTATTATTTATTTACTTAATACTTATATTTTCTTTCTTTTCTTTTCTTTTCTTTTCTTTTTTTCTTATCCTTTTCTTTCTTTCTTTCTTTCTTCTTTCTTTTTTCTTTTCTTCTTCTTCTTTTCCTTTTTTTTCTATTTTTTTTACACACATACGAAGTTTTATGAAATGAGATTAAACGAGACACATACTTGGCTTTGTTCATTAACGTGGCACTGCATGTTCGCCGCAGATCCTCTTGTTCTCCCGTCATAGCTGAACACATACTCTGTTGGAACAATATGGTACAAATTAATACCAAATACACGAAAATACACCTATATATCCTTATCTTTTCCGTTTTTTATGATCCTGTTCAGAAAGTTAAATAGGATAATATTATTTATAAGGAACCATATATTACTAAGATTGTAGAATATACTTTATAAAAGCAATTTGAGATTTTGCAAAGATTTATTTATAAACATGGGCTTCCTGCACTTATCAAAGAACATGTGTTATGTCATTATAGAATTTATAATGATTATGAAGAGCAAGGCGATTTAATTGAAGCTATAAAGACAATTACTTTATAATTGTTAGGATAGTTATGCCAGCATTAATGATGATAATAATGATGGTACTACTGATAACAATGGTGCTAATGTAGTATAATAATGATAGTGATAATGCCAACTATCATTATCAGTATTAGTAATATCATTATCATCGTAATTATTATGAATGTTCTTACTAATAATCATTATCATTATTATCAATATAATTAAAATCATTATTTATGGTTAGTTATTGTCATCATTATCTTTGTTGCTATTATCATTTTCATCTTTATTTGTTAGTGACATTATTGTCATTATCATTATTATCATTACTATTATTATCGTTGTTAGTATTATCATATACTTATCATTATTTTTTTATCAGCATTATCGTTGTTATCATTGTCATTTTCATTATCATTATTACTATTTTTCTTGTCATCATGATTATATTATTAGCATTATCACTACTTTATCAATTTATTATTATTATTATTATCATTAAATGTTATACTACTACCATTGCTATTATTATTCTACTTTTTATCTTTTTTTTTCTTTTATCTTTATTTAATATTATTATTATCATAATTGTTAAAGTTGTTGGTGTTGCTGTTGTTGTTGTTCCTATTTTACCATTATCTTTATTAACATAATTATCATTATCATCACTTTTACTTTTATTATGATTGTCATTATTATTATTATAAATTCTTATTGTGATCATCATTATCATTATTACTGATATCATTATTATAACCATTGTTATTATCACCATTATCATTGTTTTATTATCATCATTATTATAACTGTCATTACTAAAAAAAAATATCATCATTATTGTAGTTGGTGTATCATTATCATTATTACTGTTATCCTTATCATTATTATTATTGTTGTTATCATGTTTATTATTATTATTACTATCATTGTTATTATTATTATTAATAATATCATCATAATTACTATTGTTATTATTATCATTACTGTTATTATCATCATCATTATTATTATCCTTAATACTGTTAATGGAATTATCAATTTCATTATCATCACTATTACTATCATTATCATTATCCAAATTGTCAATATTATTATTATTAACATTATCACCATCGTTGTTGCTTTTACTATTATTTTACTAGTCATTATCATTATCATTTATCATTATTTTCATTATCATCATTACTTTATTTTCGTTTTATTGTTGTTATTACCATTATCATTGTTGTTACTATTGTTATTATTACCATTTTGATTCCTATTATTAGTTTTATTATTATCATTAATATTATTACTTTCATTATCATTATTATTATTACTTTTATTACCATATCATTATACTCATTATTGTTTCAATCATTGTTATAATTAACATTATTATTATTATTAGTCTTATATCATTTTCTTTGTCTTCATTATCATTTTCATTATCATCACGATTATCATCATAATCATTATTACCTTTATGATTATCATTATTATTACCATCTCTATCATCATCGTTATCATCATTTACATGATAATTATCTTTATCATTATCATGATCATTTTTGTATTATTCTCATTATCGTTATTCTTTTCATTTTCATTATCACTATTATCATCATTATTGTCATATCTATTATCATGATCTTTTTCATCATTATTTTTGCGTTATTTTTTAGCATCAGTATTATCCTTAACTTTATCAACATTATTACCATTAATATCATCATATTATCATCATCATCCTTTTCATTGATATCTTTATCATCATTACCATTATCACAACCATCACCATCACCACCATCGTCACCATCACCATAACCATCGTACGCACCACCACTACATTCATCACCATCATTGCATTCATCACTATCACCACACTCATCACTCATTACCACTACCATCACCATAGCCATCATCACACTCACCACCCTTTCCTCACCACCAGTTTCACCACACATTCCATTTTCACCGCCACCCTCACATTTCACCACCACCATTTCCCACATTCACCACCATTCCCTCACATTCACCACCATTCATCACATCACCACCACCATTCACACCATTCCTCACATTCACCACCCCATTTCCTCACATTCACCACCATTCCTCACATTCACCATTGCCTCACACACCACCATTTCCCTCACATTCACCACCACCATTTCCTCACATTCACCACCATTTCCTCACATTCACACCACCATCCTCAGCATTCATTACATTCACCACCACCCCTCACACCATTCCTCACATTCACCACACATTTTCCTCACATTCACCACCATTTCCTCACATTCCCATTCATCATTCACCACCATTTCCTCACATTCACCACCATTCCACATCATTCCCTCACATTCACCACCACTCACATTTCACCACCATCCCTCACATTCACACCATTTCCTCACATTCATCACCATTCCCTCACATTCACCACCACCATTTCCTCACATTCACCACCATTTCCTCACATTCACCACCATTTCCTCACATTCACCACCATTTCCTCACATTCACCACCATTTCCTCACATTCACCACCATTCCCTCACATTCACCACCATTCCCTCACATTCACCACCATTCCCTCACATTCACCACCATTCCCTCACATTCACACCATTCCTCACCACCACCATTTCCTCACATTCACCACCATCCCTCACATTCACCACCATTTCCCTCACATTCATCACCATCCTCACATTCACCACCATTTCCTCACATTCACCACCATTCCCACTCACCACCATTCCCTCACATTCACCACCATTTCCTCACATTCACCACCATTTCCCTCACATTCACCACCATTCCCTCACATTCACCACCATTCCCTCACATTCACCACCATTTCCTCACATTCACCACCATTCCCTCACATTCACCACCATTCCCTCACATTCACCACCATTTCCTCACATTCACCACTTCCTCACATTCACCACCATTTCCTCACATTCACATTTCCCTCACATTCACATTTTCACATTCACCATTCCCTCACAACCACCATTCCTCACATTCACCACCATTCCCTCACATTTACCACCATTCCCTCAACATTCACCACCATTCCCTCACATTCACCACCATTCCCTCACATTCACCCCATTTCACATTCACCACCATTTCCCTCACATTCACCACCATTTCCTCACATTCACCACCATTTCCTCACATTCACATTCCCTCACATTCACCACCATTCCCTCACATTCACCACCATTTCCTCACATTCACCACCATTCCCTCACATTCACCACCA